TATAGTGCCAGGAAAACATACTTGTTTTCCTGGCACTATAGTGCCCTGAGGGTGCCCCCACCCTCAGGGTCCCACTCCCGCCCGGCTCTGGGAAAGGAAAGGGTTAAAACTCACCTTTATTTCAGCGCTGGGCGGGGAGCTCTCCTCCTCCTCTCCGCTTCCTCTCCTCCCTTTCATTCATAATGCTTTCCTATGGACGCTTGCGTGTTCTCACTGTGATTTTCACAGTGAGAATCACGCAAGCGCCTCTAGCGGCTGTCAATGAGACAGCCACTAGAGGATTTGGAGGCTGGATTAACCCTAACATAAACATAGCAGTTTCTCTGAAACTGCTATGTTTATTAAAAAAAGGGTTAATCCTAGAGGGACCTGGCACCCAGACCACTTCATTAAGCTGAAGTGGTCTGGGTGCAGAGAGTGGTCCTTTAACAAGAGAGCAGTCTTTCAGCCATAGGGTCAAGTTCTTTAACTTCTAGATCTGCCAATTTGGGATCAATTCTCAGCAGACCTGCTTTGCATATTACAGCAGCCAGAGCTGCATTCCCGTTGTCCAATAAGCACACATGTCTTTTGGCGCATTCATGAATTCCCTTGGCAACTAATGGCATGCCCTGAGACAGGGCCTCATCTACCAAATGCAGAATTTTTATCCGCGGCTCTCTGATGTCAAGCAACTTATATTGCACCACACGGAGGCCACGTTCAATATCCTTGTGATGGCAACAGCCACTGTGGGTCACATAGGTGAGCATGGTCTGGTTAAACTCTGAAGTTTGGCTCACATTGTCTGGTAAGGTATGTCTCGGCATTCTGTCCAGGAGGTGGTTATGGACCTTCATGTCTAGTGGTTTTGTCAACCATAAGTGTAGGAATTTTGATATGTGATCCGGAGGGAGCCAGTCCACCGATCATGGGTGGCAGATTATGTGTGGGCAAACGTTTGAACTTTTTGGGTATCCAAGATGATGTCCATGTCTGTGGCTACCGATCGTTGTGAGTCTTGCTCAGTGGCCATGTATGGTTCACTCACAAGGATTCATGGTCATAATGGAGGTGAGGCAGGTATCCACGCCATCCTTCAATGTTCAAAGCCAATTTCTTTGCTGCTGTGAGTCCTGCGAGACACGACACATGGGAAATACCGAGCAGAATCCAAATACCATGCAGAATCAAGCAGCAACTGCACAAATGAGCATATAGTACTGTTGGATGAAGAGCTCCAGAGTGATACCAATAAACACTAGTGAGCTCTGCAGGTGAAAACAACCGCAATGACAGTCAGAAACAATGAACAGAAAATAGAAAACATAAACATAAAATCAGTCCAGAAATAAAAGGCAAAGGAACACACACTGTGACCTTTTAACTGATATGGAGCATCAAAGAAATAGGAGGTCCTTCCTGTTGGGAGGCATTTTATAATAGTGTTTCCTGTTTCTGATTGGTGGATTTTTTTTTCTTCATGTTTTCATTGCTTCTATAGAGATGCCGTAAAGAACGTAAAGCAAATATGAGGGCTCCTGTCATGTTGCAAAATGTAATCTGCAACACCCTACACAATATTTCCTTGTACGTTTTCTATGGTATATTTTCCTTATTTTCATTCAGGCTGTCGCTCCATACCAGCAGAGATGTATGTAGGGCAGTGTATTCAAATTCCCCCTTGCTTTGAAATCCCAAAATCCAGTAAACACTGGTGGTTCCAGACTTATTGAGACCTTAGACAATAAGCTATTAGTTCAAATACAAAGCCACATAACCTCTTTAACAACCTCAGCATCTGGTCAGTAAAACTTAGCAAAAATGTTGGAATAAGACGTTTTATTTAAATGCACGTATAGGTCTTAACCTCTTTACACCAGGCTAGAGGCTGGTCTTAATATTTTTGGGATAGCGACAGCTGGAAATAAGCAGCTGCAGGGTTACAAACCAGTGGAACACAAGTTTCAAGGTAGTGATTAGTGGCTCCCATAGATATAACTGGTAACTAATGGCAACTGACTTGCACTATCTAGTAACTCCCTGTCGGTAAAGGTAATATTTGGCAGTTAGGAAACAGCTGCTACGCACTACTAGAAGTTACAGGCAGGGTAAACAGTAGTTGTTGGTCACTTAAAAGTAGCAACAACCCAGGCAGGGGTGCCCACTCTCCCCACTCCTCTATATACTTGCCCTGGAGCTGTTAGCTATAGCAATTAGACAGAATGTTAATGTTCACAGTGTTCTCATTGGCGACAGGGACTATAAATTGAACTTATTCGCGGACGACATCCAACTGACCTTGATCCAACCACTTATCTCTTTACCTAACTTACAAAAAGTGCTTCAGACATACAGTGAAATGTTGTATTATAAACTGAATATTTACAAGACCCAGGCCCTGGTAGTTAGAATTACTAAACATTTAATTGAACAACTAAAATTGTTCTTCAACTTTGACTGGAGGTCAGACTTTCTGTTATTTTTGGCGTCAATATCCGCTGCAATCCCCAGGCACTTTTTAACTAAACTTTCACAAACTGTTCACCCACATTGACCAAACCCTGAAGAGCTGGGAAGGGAAGTACCTCTCGTGGGTGGGCAGGTGTGCGGCCATTAAAATATCAATATTACCTGAAATATTATACTTGTTTAGATCGCTACAGATACAAATCCCAGTGCACTATCAACCAACTATACTTTACTACTCAAATTTTTCTGGTGCAAAAAGAGACCTAGAGTGCCAAAGACACTACTCACACAACCTATTGATAATGGAGGCTCTGAATCTCAGGGTATATACACGTCGCCAATATTGTCTCAGCACATTCACTAGGTTCCGCACTACAATGATGTACGATAGGGTCCCAAAAAATGGATACCACTGATTTGACACACTGCATATGGTTACCCAAAAACTGCAGACACACACCATTGACCACATTTACCAACTACTAAACTATTGCTATCAATATAGTAAAAAAACATGCTGTGCAGCATCCAACCATGGTCACTTGCCACAACGCTAACTTCCATACACAGACATAATGCCACTTTTATTTTCAAACTATGGGCAAGATGTGAACATATATACCAATTATACTCGGGAACTTCCCTGATGTCACCTTCTGCATTACATAACAAATATAACATGAACCTGAACATGTTTTTTTTCAGTCACACTACTCAAAAGTATAATTTCCCACAATATGCCTACAAAACAGGTTAGTGAAGCGAGCCAAGAAACAACAAACTCTGAAAAAATGTGTACACAAACACTCCCCCAGAAAAAGGTACTGTCATGTTGCTATTTGCAAATCAACACAAATGTCACGTGAAGTAAATGGGCATTTCCAAAAGCCTGGGAACAAGATCTCAATGTCACAATAGCACCAGAGCAATGGTGGGCAGCATACAGGGAATGTAGAGGGCTCTCATCCTCATCTCATCTGGAACTAACAAGGAAACTGTTAAACTGTTATTCAAAACATAGAATGCACAAACTGGGACAAAGGGGCCAAGTGTGTCAGATTCCTGAAGATAAATACCATAGAGTGATCACATTAAATAAAATTCATTCCAGTCCTTTAATAAAATATATATAATATGTATTGATTTAATAAACGAGAAAGATGGAAATTATGGCCATTAAGTACAATAGAAATGTAAAATCTATGGATATTTTGAAGCCTTGGGCAAAACAAGGTACTTCTATGAATTTTAAGTAATTTTGTTATATTGGGAATATAAAACACAGTTTGTATAAAAGTATTAAGCTTGAAATAAAAGTGTAACTTACTCCGTAAATAATCAACTAAATTTGTTTTTCTTTAGCTAGCTTAGACAGGGCTGTCTTCACTCACTGTTCCCGTATGTAAAACATGTTTTATTAGAAATATTTGTTTGTCATGTTTTACCTTCTGTTTATTGTACAGCTCTGAAGAGTATGTTGACGCTACATATATATATAATTGTAATTGTTACAAATGAAACTGCAAGGTCCAGATAGGGTAAAAACACTGAACTATAAGGAACCTTTTTAGTGACAACATAAGAACATGCACACCCCTAACAATGGTAAACGAACCACATAAAACGAAAAACTATTTTATCCTGTCATTCTCTTACTGATTCATAGTACCAAACAGAGATAGAGAGAGCACTCTTTTTCCTTAAAGAGACACTCCAGACACCAAAAGCACTTGTTTTGGGGTTATTTAGGAGGTCCCCCTTACTCCTATTTTATAAAAGTACTTATTTCATGAGAAGACACTTTAATAAAAAGAATGCAGATGCAATTTAGTTCACTTTCCAGAATTCAGAGGAATTTAACATATTACCTTTCAATAAAAGCTTAACTGAGAGGGCAGAAACAACTCAATTAATTATACCAACACGATGGAGCCCACAAGCAAAATAAACTGAAACCCCGCAGCTACCTTAGGAATATACATTTATATTTTTTTTTTATTTTTTTTTATCTGAGAATTGCATCAAATATGAAATTGTATAATGCCAGTGAGATAGCTCAGTGAAATAGATCAGTAGATTCTGCTCAATTTCAGATGCAATTGCCAGCAGTGTTGACTCAGCCTTATACCTTCCGAGGTAGATAAAATTAGTACCATTAAATTGGGTAATAGCAACATCCCCTGGATTTTGGGCAAAAGTAACATCCCCAGGACGTACTTGGTAATCAGTTTAACTGTAACGTACCTTTCCTGGAAAAATATGTTAATATTATTTCAGAATTTGCTTGTTTTCTTGGTAGAAGAATTGCAGTGATCACAAGACTTTCATACATTTTTGTTTCATATATTAAAAAAAAAAATTGAAAACCTGTTTATTTTTCAGGGCTTTCAGATGTCTACATACCAAACAAGCAAACTGAGACTGTGTCACTAAGAGGTTAAATGTGTCAGCAGAATTGTTTGTAAACAAAAATAATTAGTTTGGATAAAAAATGAAAATGAAAGAAAGAGAAAAAAAATAGAATTTGTCATTAGTATATTTTCAATTCAATTTTTTGCTGTAGCCCTCAAATACTTTGCAAATGATGTTTGACAAAGTATTTGAGGGCTGCAGCATAAAATAAAAGCATATGGTTCATGATTGCGATGTGAAAGGGTATTGCACGCTCGTTTTGTAATAAGTGAACCATAGCTCTAACCTGTTATCATTACTTGATCATAGCCTCATACATTCTTGTTATGTCAACAGAAGACAGAGGACTTGTTGCTGATTTACAACAATGTCAGAAAAATGTGTGGAAAACTATTAGAAAATGTCATGGTATGTTATTTTCATGGTGTGTTGCGAATTTCTAATTAATCAAGGTATGAGGCAATCAATGTCTATAGCACTACTGGGAAATCTGTTTTTGTTTTTTCATTATTTTTTATATATATCCTGAATAACTCACTTGATTCCTAAAAATATATAAATATCTTATTGTAAATATATATTTGTCTCTGGGAACTTAAGTCGAATAGATTACCAAACATTATAAATTGTATAATAAAAAAAGTCGGTTTTGGTGGGATGAAACCGACGAGTGGTTAGACCTGTAATAAAGAGGGCCCACTTGTAGAAATTAGTTTGGCAAAAGAATTAGGTGGGGGGACAACTTCAAAGATGCGATGACAGGAAAAGGGGGGTTCTAGGTAATATATGTCAGATAAACCCTCCCACAACTTCAGGATCCCGCCTTTTACTTGTGTCCGGAAACATAAGCCTAATAGATTACCATAAAAACAGCATAATTTGTATAATAAGAAAGTCAGCTGTGATGTGCCAAAACCGACAAGTGGTTAGACCTGTAATAAAAAGGGCAGCAATTATGAATACGAGCTTTATTAAATACATAAATTCACAGTTCACAAAGCAATGTTATTGAAAGCAAGCCTAACTCCTTTCTTAGGATTTGGTATGTATCTGCTCCAAGAAGAAGACTTCCAACGACCCATTTTCTTGATAATGTGAGTGGATATATGATGGCTTGACACAGCTGTTGCTGCATCTATCTGAAATGAGTGGCCAGAGAAAGAGTATGGGTTAAGCCCTAACCTGAGTAATAGAATTTGAATATATGGCATGAACTTTTGTGTTGTAATTGATCTCCCTTGTAGGATTTGTAAAGGAGAATTGGGATTATTAAGGAGGAAAGTAACCTTTACTGGACCATTTAGAACCGGTTGGATATAATGGGATTTCTACCGGGGGAAACCATAAAACGGCTAAGTGGCAGCTTTAAGAACACCATTAGTCTGTCATTCAATAGGGACAGTGAGTCCAATATATTTTGGAACGCGTGACTGTCACAAGGAAGTCATTTAGGAGCTTTGTGAATTTTGAGTCATTGAATAATCTTTAACACGCTTTTAATACGGTATGTACTTAGAAAAGGTTTCTTGTTGGGGTATGATGTCAACATATAATGTTGAACAACTGTTAAATGGAGTTTTATTTTGTTTTAGGCTAATTTTAATGGAAAAATGGCAAAAGTTATGAATGCAACCATAGTTTAAATAGAAAACACATTTATTATGTTAAATTCAGTAAAAAAAAAAATCATGAATAAACCGTGAGCTCTGTGGTATGACTTTTTAGTTTTTTTCTGACAATCCTGCTTGGGAAAAAGTTTTGCTTTGGAATAAGAGAAGTTCTGGTCCATAATTAGATCCCTGAATTAAGGGGGATCTCTGAGTTGAATATTCACTGTTGGGGGAAAGTGAAGGAATTCATGAAATGTATAACGTGATAAGGCACCAGCAGCTTCATTATAAACACCAGGTATATGGATGCATTCCATATAGAACTGTGAAGTGTCTACCAACCATGTTAGTTTCCTTACTAACTTCATGATAGCAAAAGATTGAGAACTTCCTTTATTTGTGATGTTACAAGCTGCTAATTTATTAGAGAAGTACTTAACGGCCTGCCCTTTCCATGTATGAAGCCAGACATGTGCAGCCACTACCAAAGGGAACCTTTCCAAACAGGGCAGGTGAGTTAGGGAAGTTCTCTAAATGAGATGTTTCAAGAGGCCATCTCGCCTGTTCCTATTCATCACTAAATATGGCTAAATTGCGTAATCAATGGAAGCTGCAGCATCTGACCAAATTATGCAGGAGTTGTTTGAAATAGAGGGTATAAACAGTGATCTGCCGTTTCACCATGACAAAAAAAGATGCCACATATTTGGGTCTGCCCTAGCTAGCGCATCAAGAGTTATGCTTACTGTACCAAGGTAACCTTTTGGAGAAATTCATCTCTCCACTACGATTACCTCTTTTAGCCGGCTGGTGCATATTCCCTCCTAAACCTTTCAACTGCGATCACATAGTGTTCACAGTACATATACACCAGGCGTAATGTTATATTGGTATTACTTTTACTTTACATATTTTACAACTGTTTGGTTTAAGTTTTGGTGTTTGGTGTAACAGATGTTTGTGCCTGATTTTTTTAAATTTTCTTTTTTTTTATGTCTTGGATATATTAGGGCATTGGCATTTGGTATCTGGTCAAGAATACAACTTGTCTATTTTCTTGAGTTAGGTTCAAATTTAAGCTATTCTGGGTTTTGAAAATTCTCACAATTGCAGCCCTCATTTGCCATACATTTGCAATCCTACGTGCCCTATAAGTCTTCTATTTCAAATGTATGCCAAATGATGGCTGCAATAGCGAGTTGATATTTTGGGAAAGTGGCCAAACACGGCCATACCGACAACAGTTTACTCACCACTAGAGTTCACTCACCACTGGAACCACCAGGGATGGCAGCACGGCCCCCTCTCCCAGGCTAAAGGTAAGAAGGGAGGGGGGATACAATGTTTTTTTTATTTCAAATTAATAAATTAATATATAGTGGCATTAGTCTTCCTCCCCCCAACACGCATTCCACCACTAATAGGGTAAATGTACAACTCTGCTATCTTTCCCATGGATTTATTTGCAGTGAACCTAGAGGTAGATGATGATGCCATCACCCTATTTCCTGCTATGCCCAAGGGATACATACAGCCACATACAGGGCTTATATATGATATGGATATAACCCCTTCTACCCTTCATCAGTTTCATTTGAATGGTAAGAAATTCCTGCTAATTTTAATTTCAATCAAACTTATTCCTAAACCTCTGTGTCTTTTAATAAAGCAAGTGGATTCACTTATTCCTAGGCATATATAGCTTTTAATATAGTCACTGTATTGACTTATTCCTAGGCCTCTGTTGGGCCTTTGAATATAGCAGCTGGATTCACTTATTCCTAGGCCTCTTTTAAGCCTTTCAATATTGAAAGTTTCACCTAATTGTGGTGAGATAACTCAGTGGGCTACTGCTTCATCATAAGAATCTGTTTAACCCTTGTGGGTCTCAGGTGCAATTCCCTTGCAGGGGTAACTCATCCCTTTGAGGTATAAAAAATGAATACCATTAAATTGAGAAAAAGTAACATCCTCAGGATGCACTTAGAAGCCAGAAAATATCTGAATGTCTCTTTTCTGGTTAAACATTCTGTCTATAAATTTGCAGAATGCTTATTCCATGTATCAATTGCCCCACATCACCAGATGTTTCTCAGATTGCAGTGGAAGAGCACTATCATTTTTACATCTTCATGGTGAAAGATGAATGTCTGCTGAGGTCACCTTGCCCCCTCCCATTTCAAGGTATGGCTGGGAACATTTGGTCCAAGGAACGGTATAGCTCTCTTCAGAGAGTGCAGTAAGACTTATCAAGCAATAAATGATGTTGACTGTCATATTTTCACAGCAGAGAGCGTTTTGATCTAGGTCCTCCACCACAGGTCTGATAAGAGGCCACAAGGGAGGTTAACTTTCCTATAGAAATCCCTTGGACAGTGATAACTATGAATACCATCAACTGGGACTGAGGAACTTTTCTCCAAAATTGAATATGTTCAGGAAAGGAACACCCTTAACACTCAACACTTCTCTTCAGCGGCGGCTCTCTAGGCGGTGTAGGCGGCCGCCTATTTCCTCGCGGTGGCTGGGGACCTCGCGGCCGCCTAAACCACCTGTGGGCAGACTGTGTCGGGTCCTCGGTCAGTGACACCAGGAGGGGACCCCGCAGTGAGCAGAGCTGCAGACCATGTGTCTCGCGAAAACTGGCCAATCAGTGCTTGCCGCGGGTTACTGGAAATGATGGCCACCGGACCACCAGGGAGCCCACTGGACCACCAGGGAAATTAAGGTATGCAGTCCCCCCTCCCTCAGCATCACCCCCCCCCACCATCACCCCAACCCCCTCCATCAGCATCAAACCCCCCTCCCTCACCATTACCCCCTGTGATGAGACCAATCTCGCCACTGTGCATTGGAGGAGCCTGGTTGCCTGCCTTTTGACTATGGGCCAGCATTTAAATACTTTATTTTCCTATGCAGAAAGGTCTATTCCTGTATTTCTGCCCTGGCGTTCGGTAGATTCTTGGATTTACTGAATGAACTCATTTAACCCAGATAGCTATGCCATGGAGCCTATTCGTGTAATAAAAGATTTTGGCTCCATGGCGATTGAACTGTATGTGTGTGGTCTGAGCGCCATTCAGTAATAATGTGTGCTCAGACCTAAGCTATCTGGGGATATGTTGCCTTGTCTCGTTCTTGGGGGGATTTATTGTATGCTGTTCCAGTTTGACTGCTAGGAGTGTAAACCTATTCATATGGTTTTTCCTATTCGGCTGTTTACAGCATTCGTATGCTTCTCCGGTTCGGTGTCCACAGTAGCTGTG